AATCCCGCCTTCAGCATTGCCTAGTGGCTGGAATACAGGACCAACTCTACAAAATCAGTTTAAAATCCACCCTTGCCACTACCGATTTTGCCTGGCCCCTATACACTGTGAATACTTCACAGAAGCTTGTGTTTTAGACTCTCTAACATCTGTGGAAAGAAACACAGGCACTCTTAAGTGTTGTTCATCATGTTGAAAGGTCAATACCTGAAATAAGTCAGCTGAATCATGCCCCAGAAGTACACAGCTCCATACGGCACTTTCTTTTTCTCAGTGTAAAGTATCTGGAGATACGTCATATACTTTATGCCAGTTACACAAAAGATATGAACTCAGAAGCACACACCAGTGGCTTTTCTTGCTTTCTCAGTGACGCAGACAGAAATTTTAGTCGAAACCCTTCTAGGGGGATAAGTCCCAAATTCTCTTTCCTTCTTGTGCTGTAAAACAATGCCCAGCCCAGGCTGTGCCATCAGTATTAGCAAGAAGACAGCAACTTACCGAAGGTAATGCTAGATTGTCTGCCAGTTCAAAGCTTTTCCTGCGATGGGCTTTGTATTTGTAGGCAGGCATTAGGGTAGACCTGGGAATGCTGACCCTGCAACCACACAAAGAAAGTATTTGCCTACACGTTCCACAAAGCAGTGGAAATCTGCTTGCCTTCTACACTCAGAACCCAACGGTCTAATCCCAAAGTGAAACAAGTGAAACAGTTTGGATTAGGGCATTAGACACTTAACATGTACATTCAGATTCTGGACCAAATTCAGATAAAACATGCATTTCTTGCTGACTTCAAAACCATTTCTGGTTATGGAAAACATCAGTGGTGAGTTTTTAAGCAAGAGATAATTCTGCCTTGAGAACAGTAACCTTCTACAGAGCTATTTTGATGCTGTTTTCTTCCTCACATGATCAGCTTTTTCTTCCCCGTTGTTTTCTTGCATATTACAAAGCAGTAATTCTTACCTACCTGACATAGGCTGGCTCTTCCAGTACCTCTGGGGGCTGCTGAGTACGCGGGATCTTACACATGGGGCAGGCAGATTTTGAATCCATAGGGACAGTGAAGAGGCGCTGGTTTAATCGATAACAGTAAACACCTGCCACAGAGTAGTGAAACATCATGGTATTTCTAGTTCGACAGAAGGTTGCTCAACACAGTCAACAAAGCTATGTTCTACCACAGTGCCACATATGCATTCTATAGAAAGAGTTGCTTTTTTCTGAAATATCTTTTATGTTTCCTATCCCCAAGTAAGTTCCTAAAAAACAAAACTTCAACCTCCCAACTTAAAAAGATAGTATTAGCCCATTACAAGAAACTCTAAAAAACCAAGATGACACTGATTGAGAGAGGATCTCTAGAAGACTCAACTATCTTTGGAATACGAAGTTGAATCTGGTTTACAAGTTGCAGCTAAAAATAACACATTATTCCTTGTCTTGCACGATGTGGGGCTCTCAGAATGTCAGGCAAAGACTGCTCCCATTGTTTGTTCACAGAAATTGGATTAGAAAGAAATCTGATCTTACACTTATGGGAACTGGTTATCAAATCTGGTTCTTGTTCAGGAACTACGTAATCCAGAGCCTTGGGCCTAAAGAAACACCCAAACAAATCAGTTAGTGCCATGGTCTAACCCCAGCCAGCAACTTGGACCACAGAGCCACTCACTCACACCCCTCCTTCCCTCCCTCCTCCCACCACCCCCAGTAGGGTAAGGAGAAGAGGGAACTCATGGGTTGAGATAAAGACAGTTTAATAGAACAGTAATAGTAGAGAAAAATAATAATAAGGGTAAAAGAATATACAAAACAAAGTGATACAACATAAGTGACTGTCACCACCCGATGACTGGTTGCCCAGCCTGTCCCGAGCAGCTATTGTGAATTCCTGTCCCCCCACCAGCCCCTATTATTCCCCTACTATTTAAATACTGAGCATGGTATGGAATAGTCCTTCGGTCAGCTAGTCCTGTCTATGGTCCCTCTCAGCTTTTATGGGAAGCTGAAAAAGTCCTTGACTAACGTAACCATTACTTCGTAACAACTACAACAGTATGTGTTATCAACATTCTTAGTATGGATTCATACTAAATCCAAAACACAGCAGCTACTAGGAAGAAAATGAACTCTATCCCAGACGAAACCAGGGCAGGTAGTGACAGGGGGGCAGGCCCTCTGGACAGCCCCACCTTTTCCAAGCATACATTTGTGATTGGGAGGTAAAGGCCTACAAAGCCACCCTTAAAATTTCTCACTCCAATCAGACTATACCTCTAATTACTCTAAAGGGATACACTGCTGCTTCAGCCCTTCCCCCATACCCACTTACTCCAGGTGCTGTTCATGAACACATGCTTCTTTGTTGGCCTGTCGGAACTCATGCAGCTCTGCAAAGTATTGATCAGATTTTTCTGCTACTGAAGAGTCTGCATCTAGGAGCCCTGAGAACACCAAGGAAAGAGAGAAATCCAAGGATTTACCAAATTTGGGAAAGCCCCAAAGCAAGCCTCATGCAAAACAGTAAAAACAACCAAAGGTCTGAAGCACTAAAATCGATAATGAGAAGAGCAGGCCATCATGTCAAGCCAGAGACTTACTGCATGGTTTGGGCCTCTTACTGCATTTGTTCCTTTCAGTTACTTGGTATCCCCTCTGACCCCACTCTGCTTTGCCATTTGCTGCCTGGATTCCCATACCACTGCCACTTCACTGTTCCAGGGAAGCACGGGTCACCTCTGGCCTGGACAGGGAATGGCTTCTGACAAAACTGCAGCTCCCCTGCTGAGACCTGCTACGTGGGGTCTAGGTCTGAAGTTCTATCACATCCCAACTTAAAGGGGTCGTAAACTGTGTTTTAACTCTTCGTACTAGTGCATCATGCTGAGAGTTTTGCTTCAAGTTTAGGATTTACCTGCAATCCAGTCATAGCCCAGGAACGGACGCACAGACCAGCTGCTCACAGGTATGGTATATTCTTCAGGGTCAGACTGAAAAGTCACACGACCAGCTTCCTTCTGGGAAGAAAATAATTCATAAAGATTTCCTATACATCTAGCAGGACATTCAAAGGTACAGCTTAGGAGACGACTGGCAGCTGTGGCTTAGAAGCTGGATTTTATCTATGCCTCTACCAGTAATTTGCTCACCAGCCCTTTATCTTCTTAATTCATAAAATACAAAGGGGAGCCAGGGGACTTGCCCAGGCTAAGGCAGTATTTTCCAGGGTTTTAAACAAAATGCTGACTTCCCTGCATCACACACCCCCAAATGTCAGGCTATCTGTGCTGCCTTGGAGGATGATCATGGCAACAGCCTGCCCTTCACACTTAAGGAAATAAGCTATGTAGCAGCAGCACTGCGCCAGGTGGCTCTCCCTGAGTATATAAATCACATATACAAATTATGAGGAGCCTTACAGTGAAGTGCTACAGTTTTCTGCCCAAGGGCTAAGGAAAGCAGGGGCTGAAAAAACTGCCAACAGCCCCTGGCTGCTAAAGCTCTAACAATTCTGACTCCAAGTTCCAATTTACACAGTGGGAACAGAGCAAGTAATGTTCTCCTGACCCTTTCTCCCTGTCTTTCTATTGACTTATGAAAACAAGCAAAGCATTGTTTTCACCATTTACCTTCAATTCTCTGGACTGAGATGTCACCAAAATTGATTTAGGAATTATGGGCTCTCTAATGACCACATGCTGCTTGCTGGTCTCTTCACTTTGTATGCTGCTCAGTGATGGGTCCAGATGACCCTTAAGCTCATTTTTTTCATGGAAACTATGTGGCAGAGTGGACTGTTTTCTGGTCTCTCCGTGTCCCGGAAGGAAGAATTCTTTCTCCAGACTTCCTCGAGCATGGCCATCCCTATCCACTTCGGAGGTTTCTCTACCACAGGTAATGATTGCAGACACCGGCATAACATTCTTCTCTTTTCCAGGAAAGCTGGAATCCAAACCTACTGCTTTCTGCATCTTTGCTTGTTGCTGCTGAACCCCTCTGTCATTGCTGCTGTGTTTAAGAGATGAAGAGAGGGCTGCTCTGGCTGCGTAAGCTCCAGGTTCCACAGACACCAACACTGCAGGGTCAGCTGTACAATTCACAGCACTGAACTGGTTTTCCTTCTGTAAGGACAGACACTGTCATACCACATGGCATCATTCTGATTACAAATACCTTTCATCAGGACGTTTCACTCACTAAGAGAAAAATCAACCTCTCATTCTAGTCTACTCACCCCTTTAAATTCCTGGGGGGAAAAAAGCAAAATCCTTGTATCATTAAAGAGCCATTAGTGTTTGGAGAAGATAATAAAAGGATCCACTTCCATCTAAATGCAACTTTTCCCAATTTGAGGAACTGCTACATTTTCAGCTTTTGTGCTTAGAAGAAAGAAAATTACTATGTTCCACAATGTTCATTCCTATCTTAGATTAAGAAACCTGCATTTCTTAGGCAGGAACTGATCTCTGAACCCTTTGGAAGGAGAAAATATTTGAGACCACAGGATAAATAATAAACAAAAGTCTAGCTACTTTTCTAACAGACTGCATATTCCACATTCTACCAGCGGCTCCATGTCCATATGTCTCCTTTACCACACCACTCCATAGGCAGAGCTGCTGCTTTCCATACAAGGCCCATTTGCTTCTCAGCAATATTAGCACAGACACAACACATACCCCTCTCTTGGGCAAGGGGACAGATTTTTCAGTAGCTGCTTCATTATGAAGAGATGCTGGAGAGAGTGGCTTGCTGGGAAGTCTTTTTCTGATCTCTTCCTGCTTTGTTCTGAGCCTTTGTAGAAGGTCCTGGTTGGCCTGACGCAGCCTCTTCAGGTGTTCTAACTCCATTCTATGGCAACATTTTCCTGTAAAGCCAAAGCAAGGGTGAACTACACAAATGGAAGCATTAAGCAAAGAAGTAGACACAGGAGAAACCACTTCCAGGGGACTTTTCATGAAAAACACAGCTGTTAAAATGTTGGGAGCGTTTATCATTCCTCCTGAGAAATCAGCCAGTTTCAAAACTCTTTACCCTAAGAACTAGTACCACTGCGTATTTCTCTCCTCTCAGATGTACTATCAAATATTTTGCACCCAGAAACTGGTAGCTGACTGAATAGAGACAAGACAGTTCCTATTCAGGACTAGACAAGAAGAAACAGTAAACATGAAAAAAGTCACATCAAAAAGCCAAATGAGACATTTGATTCAGAGGCTGATATTTATGACAATTTTATGTAATTTTGCTTTATTGTTCTTTTTAAACATCAAAATTTGTATTGGGGTAATACCAGGATGCTCATAAGTTCAAAATATGAATAATGAATATGAATGTATTTACTATATTCAAAAGAAATATTGAGTCAAAACTCTCCTCCTCGTTCCCCAGGCAGGAAGAACCCAAAAGGCTCAGTTATGATTCAGGACTAGGGCTCAGACAATTGCAATCGCACACATTGGTCACTAAGGGGTACTGCCTTCTATTAGAAGAGGGGAAAAAAAGGAGTTAATAAATAAATAAATCAGGCTTAGATTGACTGGAAGCCTGTCATGCTATTCAACATGTTTACAACATTACAAGCTCCTCTAAATTTGCAGAAAGTGTTTGGTTGGTTTTGGTGGTGTTTGGTTGGTTTTTTTTTTAAATTAAACAAAAGGAAACCCTAAACCCAAACCCCACATTGCTTTTGGCTAGAGTGATCAGTCATGTTCTCAAGTATAACAACATGCTTCTCTAGGATCTTTTGTTCCAAAGGATCCCTAAACCCTTCTCCAAAGCTCAGTTAATTTGTTTTTGTCTGCCACCTTGGCAACTGGACATGAGGAATCAAATGCATATGCTGTACAACAGCACCAGATCAAAGAGCAGTGCTAAAAATCAAAAAACTACAACATATCTTTTTGCTACAAGTTATGAGTGAGAGGTGCACTACTGGACATAGAAATCAAAATACCAGTTTTGAGGCACTAAATTTGAGATCATTTGAACAAAACAGAAGTTCTCACAGTATTCACAGAACAAAGCTAACAGCATCTTCTCATCATTGCTCATCGGAAAGCAAATACTCCAAAAATAACACTACTCAAGGGACTTTCTAGAGGGTTTTACCAGATGAGATCCACTCTTAACATAACCTACAAAAAGTTGTTAGTCCTTCGTGCTCAACGGCAGAGACTTAATCTTATGAAACTGCTTTAGTCTGAATCCTTTGTGAAAAGGAGCTTAGCTTCTCACAGTTAAAAATAAATAACGGTCGTCTCGGGAGCTAAGAACTCTCAACTCTGCAAGAAAGTTACCCAACACCTATGCAGAGCTCCCCAGGGCCGTTTCTGCGCAGACGCGCCGGTTCGGCTCTCCCATGTCCATGAGGAAGGGCAGACGGCCGCGGGTACTGTGAAATTTCCCTTCCTTCTTCGAGAGGCCGGTTCGGCGGCCGGCAGAGGGCTGCTAAGCCCTCCCTTCGCAGCAGGGCGTGGGGAGCCGGGCCCAGCGGCTGCGGA